AGCATGGGGTAGATACAAGTCTGAGAGTTTTATTTTTTTTCCTTCAATTCCAACTCTTAAAACCAAGAATTTCCTGACATACCTTCAATTCCAACAAATGCCTTATTTTCCAATTAACCAAGTGGTTAGTCGTTGCCTAGAAGAGACGTTCTGAGTGGATATTTGGATTTGCATTTAGATCACTGTCCAGGCCTGTCTTTAGCCATGCCACAAAGCAGGTTAGTCTGGCTTTCCACCCAGCTCCAAACTCTGATTTCCATGGTGCCCCACAGCTGTTCTGCCTCCTGTCCCTCCCCCTCCAACACTACCACCACCTGCCTCCCAGGCTCCAGGCCTTTCTTTCTATTGCCCTCACTGTCTTTGACAGGGGAAATTACAACTCATTATAGCACCATCTCATGTCACCCTTTCTGGGCACTGGGGACACAACAATGACTTGACTCAGTACTTGCCCTCAGGGAGCTTATAAGAAAATTGAGCGGCTCTAAGAAGGACCAATTCACACTAAAGCGTGACTGATAATGAGATTACTAAGGATATGCGCACTCCTGGATAAGAACCCTTTAATAGCTCCCCATTACCCACAGAATCAGTTGCCTTACAATGTCACTAGGTATGCAAAAGTTTTTCCATAATTAAAAACAAGCTGAAAAAAAAAACACTGGATGAAACAAAGTTAAACAGGTTCTTTACCCCAGAACAGCTCAAAGTCAGACTGATCAAGTTCAAATCTTAGCTCTACTACTTATTAGCTGTGTGAGCTTGGACACATTTCTTAACATCTCTATAAAATAGGATTAACACAATAGTATCTAGTTCATAGGGTTGTGATGGGGGTCAAATATGGGGATGCATACTTAAAGCCCAGAACATTGCTTGCTGCCTTGAAGATACTCACAGGTAGTTACTATTCATTTTAGCAGAGCCTTTACAATACTAACATATGTTGGAGGAGGTCCCCAACTGTGGGGACACAGAATCCCAGCCTCCTCTGGAGCAGAGAATTCCATGGGTCTGGTGTTCAGAGAACACATTTTGGAACACTCCGGCCTCCAAGATGAAGTCCCTGCTCCTTAAGAACGCGTTTGAGGTCTTTGGGGGTCTGAATTTGCTAACTTCTCAAACATACCATCATACCTCGAGCTTCGACAACACTGAATGACTTTGAGTTCCTTGAGCCCTGCACTCTTTCTCAGGTCTCCATACCTGTGTCCAGGCTGTTTCCTCTGCCTGGAATGTCCTTCTCCCTGTCTTAAAGCCACAGGTCAAATGCCCCTTCTTCCCAGAATCCTTCCCTGACTACCCCAGATACAACACCCCTTCCCTTTCCCCTCCCACTGACTCAGGCCCTTCCGCCATCACCAACAGGGATTAACCCCAGTTTCCTTGTAAGTGGCACTAATAAAGAAATAAAAACCTACAAGTATAAGATTAAGCCTCTGTTTGTTACTATGTCATTTGAAAATTCCTTGATGAATCGTCCTCAAAAGTTGGGGGGTATATTGGGGAACCTGGGGAGCACCCCAAGGAAGAAGGAATTGTCCTCCAGAGCTGCTGAAATTGATGGGCAGTAGGAAGCCCGGGAGATGCTTCTTGGGAGGCTTGAGACACACAGGTGAAGATGCTTTGGGCAGAGAAGAGAAATAGTGTTGTCAAAAACCAGCCCCAAACCATAGCTCCTAAGTGCAGCCATCCTACTCTGCAGGAGTGAGTTTGCAGTTGTTTCTCACCACAGCCATTCTGCAGGTTGTGCCAGGGTGGAGAGCAGCAAGGTCGATTTATTTCCTAATGAGTAATGATTCCCTAGGGTCAGCAGAGGGGCCAGCTTAGCCCGGGGAGGTGGGTGTAAGAAGGCTTCCCAGAGAAGGGGTCATTTTGTCAAGGACCTGAATAAATCAGGAGTTAACCCAGTAAAGGGGGTGCTGGTCAACGGGGAGGCTAGAAGAGAGCCTGTTCCAAAAGAGGGGCCCAGGCTGGAGGTGTCAAGAGCTGGTTTTGGGAACCCACAACAAATCAGTGGGCTGGAGTGGCCAGTGGGCCTGGGGCCTTGCCCTTTACTCCGTGTATCAAAATGAATTTAGGTTGAGCTTTCTGAGCTCCCAGCTGGGTTTATGGTGATGACAGCTCTGGGTTTGTTGGCTGCTTTCCAGAGACATACCAGAGGCGCCTTAATATCCTCCCTGATGCGTCTCCTGAACTCACATAGGCTGGTCCCTTCCAGGAAGGATTTCTGTGGACAACTACCCAGCTGGTGTGGATTCCTTTGAGCATTAGTCACCGAGGGGCTGTTCTGACCTCCACTGAGGCTGGTCCTCTTCTATGTTTGCCTCAGAGGATGGGATAAAGTGACTCTCATGTGGCAGGCTCTCTCATGTCACCTCCCTTCTTCTCTTTACAGCCCCTCCTGTCTAGATTTTTCCTCTATAGAAATTGTCCTGAGCACCCACTTAGCTGCTGTTTGTTGAGCATCTACTATGTGCCAGACTCTGTCAAAGAGCCATGTACCAGAGGGAGCCAGTGAGTGATTCAGCCCCTTCATAAGCACTCACTGAATCAGTTTAAGTGTCCAGGATACAGAGCAAAGGCACAAGTTCCAGGCCTGTGCAGTCCAATACAGTAGTACTAGTCACACTATTTAAATTGAAATGAATGGAAATGAAATAGTTTAAAATGCAGCTCTTTTGTTGCACTAGCCACATTTCAAGATAGCCTTAAGTGGCTAAGTGGCCACCATATCGAACAATGCAGTTACAGAACATTTCCACGATAACAGAACATTCTGTTGAACTTTCTAGAGCCACAATTAGCTGGATTCAAATCTCAGATCCTTCTCTTGGAAGCTGTGTGAATTTGCCCAAATTAGTGAACCTCTCTGACCCTCTTTTCTGTATCTATAAAAGCCCATGTTCTTTAGATTGCCTCACACTTCCACTCATTTGAATATAATAGTTGGAGCAAAGCATGAAGTTAAAACCCCCAGGAACTTCAAATTATGTTTCCAAATTAGTTAGGACTCTTGTCATAGCAAATAACAGAAAATTAAATCAAGCTAGCTTAGGTAAACAGGGACTTTATAAGCAAGGCTGACTATATAATTTGTGTGGCTCAGTGCAAAATGAACATATGGGGCTTTTTGTTCAAAAAACAGGAGAAAAAGTGCATTAAAGATACCAAAATATGAACTTTCTTTTCTTTCTTCCAGTCTTTTTCTCAGCTTATGGTATTTTTTTTAATTTGCTATCATTCTTAAGTAAATAAAAATTAAAAATTTAAATTACCAGTGTGAATTTTCCCATTCATCTTTATATATGCAATGCCAGTTTTAAATGCAAATGTAAAAAAAAAGCATTTGACTTGTATGCAGTCACCAAAATTANTGGAAACAGTTCTCATATCTGTCCCATTCATCCCCATTGTTATGTCTCACCCCTGCAGCTGCCTCCTCACTGGCTCCCTGCCTGTCCCACCACTACTCCATCCTTCACTCAGCACCAGAGTGATCTCTCCAAGCTCAGGTCTGACCATATCAGTCCTCTGCTCAAAGCTTCTCATGGCTGCCTCAAGTTCAGGCTTGGTGATGGGATCTAGAGGCCTGATGGACCCCTGTGCTACAGCCCCTACCTTACAGTGTACATTCCAGCTCCTGTGAACAGCTCACTCCACACATTCCCAAATCTCATGCCTCTGTGCCTAGCTCCTGCTGTCATCTCTGCCTAGAATACTTTTTCTGGGTTTCTATTTATACAAGCTGCTGTAGGAAGTATTCTCCATGCCCCCTTTGCACTTTTACAGGACTCTTTTCTTCCCTGCCCCTCAACTCTTAGCACTGTGGTTATTCTAATGAGGCATCCTTGTCTCTCATTCACTTGGTAATGCCAGTTCGCAACTACTTCCTTAGCCATTTTATTGCACCTCACTCTAGTTCTGTAATGTATTTTTTATGACCATTTTACAGATGAGAGAAAAGTGGGACCCAGAGAGGCAAAGCGACACTGTCATGTCATCAGGGAGTCATGGAGAGGACATGTAACCCCCAGATTTCTCAGGCCCCCACACCCCTCCTACAGGGGGACCCTGTGATGCCCCAGGTGGCTGACCTGTGGTGAGAGGCGCCGGGTCCTCAGGAAGAAGCCGAGGAGGCAGCCCACGGTGACAGATAGCACAGACAGGACGAGCAGTCCATTCCGCTTGCATACATCCCTCCCTCGTGCCAGGATGGCACCTGGCACCATGGTGAGCCCAGCCTGCTGGCACAGGGCACAGCACCATTCCATGCATGTGAGGCCAGTCAGGGGCACAGGGTCCTGGCTGGAGGCTTTGTCTCCTCAGCAGCAGGTGGTCAGGGTTGCTAAGCAACAGCTGCCAGCCGCACAGCCATGGTCTGCATGGCTGCCCCAGAGGGAAGCTACAATCCTATTACCAGCTGCATCATTAAGAGCCAGGAGCAGATTAGGGCCTGGGAAATTAGAGCAGGCCACCGGTCTGGTGGCTCAGACCTCAAAGCCAAGTGTTCCTCTTCAACAGGAGCGGGGATCAGAGGCTGGTGGGAAGAACATGAGGGACATTTGCTTGGCTGGTTTGATTTTTACCCCCGCTTTATTCCAGAAATAATTGAAGGCAAGACAATAAGGTACTAGCTCATTGCCAATTAATTGCTAACATTAGTTAAGCAAGGTGCTGTTCTAGAAGCACATTACTTGTATTAGCACTTTTCATTGTAACATCAACCCGAAGAAGTAAGTACTAAAAGTATCATTTTACAGATGAAGAAACTGCGGTCAAGAGAGGTTAAATAACAGGTATGTGCTGGGTGCCAGGCCTGCTCTTGTTGCCTTATCTGTGCAAATCATAAGGAATCATCCTGACAACCTAGGATTCCGACCTTCATTTTACTGACAAGGAGATTGAGACCTCAGGAGCCAGAGCTCCTGTGCCAAAGTCCCAGAGCTCCCAAGAAGCAGAGTGGAATTCAGGCCTATGCTGGTTTACTTTCCACAACATGTACAGGTGGGTGGGTTCAAAGGTGCTTAGCCTTT